GCTTCACCCCAGCGTAAGGAGCTTGTGCGGCAAAGTGTTCGTTATGCCAAGCGATCTGAGCATAGTATATGATCAGCGAGATCAGCTCAGCTGGCAACTTGTCGAATCTTAGAAGAGGCTGGGCGACTGCAGACATCGGAGGTGAGTGGAAAGTTCAATATGCAGTAGATTCTTCACATCGCAGTCTACCTAGCGAATCAGTTACGTTCCCATAAGGTACCTGCGATACCGGTTATTGGCTAATGATAGCGGTAGGCGCTGGAGTTGAGCCGGAGAATGCCACTGCAAAGCCCGAAGTTTAGCCGGTCACTTGCCTTCAGGGCAAAACTACAGCTCTACATGTTGCGCTCAGTGCAGCAGGATGTCAAGCTCCTTCTCATCAGAAGCAAGCGCGTCGGTGCTTGACTGGAAAAGGTTGGTGAGTTGGGTCGCAAATCACCGAATAGTCCCCACGGCGGTGCGTCCTCGGGCCGATTTTGGCCCAATTTTCTTGCTGGCGCATGATGGCCGTGGAAACAGCCAGTCACCAACCAGACATCTGATCCCTGTGAGCCAAAAACAATCAAACGATACTAGATACTCATGGGTCGGGAATCGAACCCGTAACGGTCGCGAATTCAATGATACCACGACTGTTCAGCCACGAACCCATAAGAACTTGTTAGCCTGACAGCTATACCCATAAGTACCGCGCTTCCCGAAGTCCCAGCGGGAACTAGTTCTGCTCATGGCGGATCCATGGTCGGTACATGGTCCATTGGCAGATTCTGCCGCAACAAGGTCATACTCAAATCCCCGCGGTGTCTGGCGGCAATCGGCTGAAGCAAAGAATCCACCAGACGCGGTGGTTGGCGGCAGTGGCATGAATCCCCAGCCAGGAGAGGGAACTCATAGCGGAACAGGCGGTCTCCACGAGGTGATCCGGTGATCGTGCGTTTCACCAGAGTCAGCGCGGCGCCGGCGGTGCTATACAATGTGCGGAGACCAACAGAAGACATAGTTAAGCTCATGACGACAAGCAACTGCTTAATGTAAGCTGAACACCCGGAGCCTGTGAGATGGTATGATATCATAGAAGGTGAAGGACTTGTTCCGAGAAGCTCAGTATTGATCCGCAACCGGGGCTTCCGCATCAATCATTGAGCTCATGAACCCACCTGTCTTCGTTCCTCCATGTCCGAAGTTCGCACTGCCTCTCTCAGATTTACAGACTTGCCAGCGGAGCTGGTCTCGCTTGTCTTATACTGGGCACAGCTCTCTTGGCACGAGGAGCACTTTTCCGCACAAGCGCCGTACATTGGGCTCCCGTACACTGGGCTCCGGCGGTATCGGGTTCCGCAGCCTGCATCTACCTTACTTCCGTGCTGCAACGGCAAGCAACAAGACTTCGGCGGGTGCAGCTGCATCAAGTTGCCTTTGGGCCTCCCTTCGGCACTACCATCGCCTGCTTACAGGGCAGCTCAGGTGTCCAAACGCTTGCGCGCCGTGCTCCTCGAGGATACCAACATTTGGCAGCTTGACAACACCTTGTATAAGGCGGTTGCTACTCGCTCCCAGCCGGAAATTGCTTCAGATGGCCGCAGCATCGTGGATCCCGGCGCGCGTAGCCTGATCGCGGTCGACGTCTGCACATGTGTGCTTCCCGGTGTAATGCCCTTCTACTCTAGTCTCGTACGCGTCAAACTCCGGGTGCCTTGGTCCTCAGAGATACGACAATTCCTTCAAGATCAGGCGGGGCGTGGGGACAGTCCCTTGCGTTACTTTGACCTCGAGGCCCTCGATCCCAACACGGAGCAAGTCGAGGTCGGACCACGTCATGTGATGCAGGCTCTAGAGAGCACCGGGCTGCTCGTCAGCCGCTTTTCCCGTGGCAATATCTTTTACATCTCCAATACCCTCACGAATCTCAACCTCGAAAACATCGACGATTACATGGATCTTGACGACTGCTTGGAGAAGGGGTTCCGTGCATTTGCCGGTACCCTTGAGTTTCTGACTATAAACATCCGCCGCGGCTTCGAATGCACCCAGATAGACAGCGTCTATGACTTTCCTAGACTTTGCTACCTCCGGTTGTGCGCCCACCCCTCGTCCGCTGCTGTAGTCCTGGCTGCCATGGTCATGCCCCACTCCATCGACCTGCATTTCGAGCAGTCTGAATCCTGGCGATGGTACTGTCCCCGCAGAATGCCAAATACTTCACACGTACCCTTCTTTTCCGCCGAACAGATCAGGATGAGAGCGGATTTTGTTGGCTGGAATCCGGAGGACTTTGCGCAAAGCCTTGCCCAACCAGAGCGGACGGCGATAATCCACGCTGACCCGATCGCGCCCGACCTCACAGTGGGTCTCCCCAGTCCGGGTGAAGCGATGTGGCGCCGCTCATCCAGAGTAATCGGGCTGGACGTGCGCATCGATCCCTTCCTCGAGCCTCACCAATTCGCATCGACGCGCTTCCCTGAGCTGGTCAGTGTGACGTTCGCCGAGTCAGTCCGGGAGCTTCGCCCTGTCTTGCAGGACCCAGTCGGCCGCGACTGGAAAGGGAGCCTTGCTGTGCACGAAAAGACTGCTGCGCGGCGGTCTATCACCTTCCGGGATTCGCAGGATGTTCACCATGACCGCCTCCAACGGTCGCAGGCAATGTTTCCAGAGGCATTGCACGATACCCTGCGATACGTCCTTGGCTTCGTTCCCAGCCAGAGGATTCTTGGCTCCGAACAGCATGTTCAAGAGATCGTGTTCGCCAAGGACAGTTGGCTGCCTGATCAGGATCTGGGATACAAGTCTATCCTGGACAGGTTCACAAAGCTGAAGGCGCTGCATTTTGACAGCCTTCCACTTTCACCCGACGAACCTTTCACGCATGACATGGAGGGTCGCCTTGCTCCAGTGCATCTCGATGCACTGGTGTTGTATCTGGATCGCCCAGCGCCCGGTGGGGCTTTTCCCTGTCCAAATTTGGAGATCGTGCAGCTTCGATTTCCACCGCAGACGTTGCACAGCTGGAACATCCCGGCTTGGAGATGGGACGATCTAATGAATTCATCACAGCGGATCGCAGCTGGCGCATGTAAGATTCATCTGACCGTAGCGGTTGATGAGAACTTGGGGTTTCACTAGCTAGCCTAACTATCGCTGTAAAGTTTTAGATCCTCGTCACCGCCTGTAATGGGAATGATGTTCAATGTCTGTATCTTTCGCTTGGCAAAACAGTCGAAGCTCAGCTGGCAACGCGCAAATCTGCGAGCCGGCGTTGCATGCTGGGGAATTGAATGCCGCCGAGAGCTCCTCAGCAATTCTCGGCGAAGATGGCCAATTGCGATCAATTGTCATCAAACTCGTTCGAAAGCGCAAGGCATTCGCGGCGATTTCGACATCGCCAGCTGACGCTAATGCTAAGTTTTCATGCGGTAAGACATCTACAAATGGGAGACTGGTCTATATGAACAGAACCGGGTATGCATGCGCGTCCTGCTAAGACTTAGATAGTGTACAGAGCAACCCTTCGAGCGCCAGAGGCCAAGCGCGCTGGTGAATTCAGCGCTGCGTCCCAATCACCTGGGGACCCAGCCCAGCTGAGTAAACGCCGTGACGGGATTTGGAGGTGAACGGCCTGGAGCTGTGGGCAAATGTAAACGCCGCCGGCACCCGGTATGTTTAGACACAGCGTGAGCGCGTGCATATGCTCGGAAGTAAAGCACCCCTCCATGTTCTGCCTGAACTTCAGTCCCTCAGGTAGCGCGGGACTATCGAAGTGCAGTGCTCGAAGAGCTGTGAATGGCTGCAGGATATGCTGGTATCCTAGAGAGCGATCGGGAAGCCAACTGTCCTTGGCGAAGACGAACTCCTGTGCCGAGTATGCCGGGCCATTGCTCGACGGACCCAGTACAACGCTCAGGGCGTATTGCAGCGTGTCATACAAGGCCTTCGGATACTGGCTATTGAAATGTCGAGCGCGGTTTGAGCCGAAGAACTCTCCGTCTCTGAATGTCAGAGATCGTCGAGCTGCGACCTTATCTGCCAACTCCCGGCTCCTTCCTGCATCTCGACCAACGGGGTCCTCCAAGACCGGTCTGAGTTCGCCTACTGACTCGGCCAGAGTTATGCTGACAAGCTCTGGGAATCGCGCGGCAGCTGGCTGGCGGGACTTGGTGTCCGGATCGATGCGCACGTCTAGCCCCATGACCGCGGTCGAACGTTGCCAAAGCGCGTCAGCTGGATCGCCAGCTACGAAAGAATAGTTCACAGCTGGGGCGCCGTGGATGCTCGACGTATGATGGGGTCGTGCGAGGCTCTGGGCAAAGTCCTGCGGGCGCCGTCCTGCGGTTTGGAAGAGCGCGGGGGAATGTTGCGACGACCGAAAGGGCACTTCGTAGACCCCCGGGTGCTTTGCTTCGAAAAACTCTCTCCAGGAATCGACAGGCTCGAGATGTAAGTCGATTGCGTAAGGCAAAACCATCGAACGTAGTAGGATGGCCGCGGACGTCGGATGAGTGCATAGGCGAAAGTAGCGAAGCTTCGGGAATATCAGGCTGCCCTGAATCTCCGCGACAAAGCCTGCTGCGATATCGATCGTCAAGAACTGGATCGTGCCAGTGCAAGCGAAAAGACCGATCGACAGAGACAACCCAAAAACCACGTCAGCATCGGGACCTTGGTGGAGATACAGGGCAATGAGGGTCTCCGAGTAGTGGTATCTATTGCCGCCAGATTGACGGCTGGTAAGGAGTTCCGGGATCTCAATAGCTTCCATACGCCGACGTCGGCCAAAGGCAACGCGCAGCGGGTCGGCATCTAGCGCCTCCACGTCCATGTGCCGCAGACTGCCGTCCGCGCCCCCCCTGTTGGCCCAAAGGAAATGCTGCAGTTCGGACTCCACGGTCCCATCACCGGACCAGGGCAGCCTGAGCTTTACGCGCTCGAGACCAGAGTAGAACGAACGAAGGCCGCGTAGGACGCAAGTGCAAACGTCCAAGGCTACAAGACTGTTGGCGTTGTACTCGATGGTTGTCCGTCCATTTGATATCGTACGACGTTCCCCAGAGCGCTTTGCAATCGCCGGGTACAGCGCGTTGTCCAAACGCCAGATAGCGGAGTTCTCCTCAAGAAGTATGTCGCGCAGCCTTCTGGAGACCTGCGATACGCTATGCGCGGGCGAGGGCAGACAAGACGGAAGACCGGAGAGCTTGATGCAGCTGGGACGTGTAAGATCCCACCGCACGCCGCTGCAGCATGGAGGTACGATGGATGATGCAGGCGCTGGCTGTGTTACTGCATAGCGCTTCACCTCAGCATACGGCGCTTGTGCGGAAAAATGCTCCTCCTGCCATGCAGTCTGTGCCAACAAGATGATACAGACGACCAGCTCAGCAGGCAAGTCAGTGAATTTGAGGGCGGGGATCTTGGCTTCAGACATGGCGGTGAGCTGAAAGGTGCGATACAGCGCTCTGGAGGGCAGATCGTCGTGACTAAGCTGTGATCGGTCCGATCGATGTTTGATACCTTTACGTGACGGACGTTGGATCAGGGAAGCGGTTCATCGCTCACCGAGATATGTTCCCAACTCGTATTGTGTTGCCATTTGAGGTGCCTATAGATGTCTATGCTAGTCCGGCGTTCGAATTCCCCAGAAATTGAAGTTTGACATCACGTTCACGTAGTGCCCAAAGGTAAGAATCGGATTTTTACATGTCGTCACATACTATATCTTGGACCTCAGCATTGAAAGCTTCTCTCGCATGGGCTGCCAGGTCAAGCCACGCGTGCATTCGTTCTAGGGCATGGGCACGATTACCAGCATACTCGTCCGGAGATCCCTCGACTGCAGACGGCAGTAGCTGTGCTCTGCGTCGCCAGGTGTATGCGTGTGACGTGTAGCCCAAGAAGCAAGTCTGCATTTCGCCCTGCAACATAAATTGTTCTTCTTCGCAGCGCACAACGGCACACCTGGCGTTGATCCATCGAGTGCGAAAAACTGGCATTTTGTCAGCGCGAAAAATGAATGAGAGTTTGAAGACACGCACAGCCCCCTATGAACGTCTCATCATCTAGCGTCTGGCCATTCGGATTGTCGTTCGGGCCAACATTGCCCTCGGACATGCGCCAGAACCAAGGAAGTTTGAAAGCCCCTTGCGTGCGTACATTGTTGTACATGTCGTACGTCGCAGTCGAACACCGGATGTGCTCGGGGAGGATGAACCTGAACCGGGCTTTCAAAGTCTCGTAATACTCCAAGGCATCCGGCGAGTCGTCCCAAAAACAGCGGTGAAGACGGCGGACGTGATGATTGTAAATCGCGGCCTGCACTCAAACATCCTTTGTCTGCTGGCGCACGTGGATCCATGCACTCGTGCGATCCCTGTAGTTTGTCTTGCCTTTGCCCTTCTTCTTACGAATCTCCAAGCGATATCCTTGTGCTTGATCGCATAGGCCCTCTCTGATGGCTTGTAAGCGATCAATCATATCACCCATGCGAAGGTCGAGCTCGATGTCCATGGCCTGCTTCTCGCTACGCGTCATCTCTGCCTTCAGGCGGCGGTTATGTGGCCTACCCGATGGCAAGTCGACGACACGAAATTCAGCCTTGACGCGAAGGTTGTAATCGTGCCTCCCTGAGGGCTCTGCGCCCCACTCATCTTCATCTAGGAGCTTGGCGAGGCAGCCAGACAGCATCTGGTCTTCGTCAGCAGCTGCCGTGCCTAGAACTTCAACAAGATGGTGATTGGCGCTGATCCGGCGATTGTTGAACCTGGTTCTTGCTATCGCAGCAGTCCGACGATCGGAAAGCGATTCGCCCCAACTAGGTCCCTGGGCCTGCATACGCAGACTGTAGTCATCAGGTCCCATGCAGGACATGGAAGTTACAATGCGTGCTCTCACCCATCTTGCTCCAGCTTCAGGGATGTCATGATTGCTGCCACAATATCGCTGTGATCGCCTTCCAGCAAGCGTACCTCGGTCGCCTCCTTTCCTGGGGCTTGATTTGGGGAGAGGGGGGTGAGCGAAGGAAGGCGACAACTTAGGCATCACGTACTTGAATGAGGGGCAGGAGTGTCCCAAAAGATATCCGCGTAGTACGGATCCTTCACGCGCTCCTCCTCGAGATGTCTGCGTGCTTGCTCCCATCTAACTATATCCTCTTCATCGCAGGAAAGCTCGAGTCGTAAAAGATGCCGGCGACGTGTGATGAGCTCAGAGCTGTACTTGCGGTATTTCCGCACTAACGAGCCTACTGGTCTCTATCAGTAAAGCGTCTGAGACCGGTATATTGCAATGTCTCACCCATGCCGGTGATTTTCCTGTAGTTGATATCGTTCATGTGCATGTTAATCTTTTCTTCCCTAGCGGCCAAAGACATCCCCCGACACGACTGCAGGATAGCGTTCAACAGGGACCACAGTGTTTCGAGAATTTCGCCGTCGACGATTCCAGACCGTGGGCTATAGGATGGCGAAAAGCGAAGATGACACTCGAAGACATGACCGTAGAGGTGCCAAACGCCCACGCCCTGTAACAATTTGCGGAACTTGGGCCACTGAAGTCCACTATGTTTGAACCGCTTTTGGAGGTGAACGCCGTACCTGCACCAGATGTCATACAGCAGTTGGGCTCTAGTGATTTGGCTGGTGATTGACTGGTGGAACGCCGAGTCCAAGCTTTTGTCAACTGGGTCCATGCTATGTAGCATGTAAGCCACGTTGCAGCAAAAGCCAGGCGTCCGTACATTACCTCTCTCCCAAAGTAAAATTATTCGTGCCGCAAGCGCAGAAACAACCGTGGCGGGAACAGGCCCAAGAGCCGATTCCCTTGATGTCCACGACCTTACTTCTGACTTTGCCTGCAGTCGATGCGGCTTTGTGTCTATTGCAAGGCACGGTGGACTCGTCCTGGATATCCCGAGGTCATTCAGCAAGGAGTCGAACTGTACCTGGCGATCGTCTCACCAAATTTGGATATATTCGCCGAAGATCCTGGTCGTCAACAGCTCTCATAGAATGCGCCTTCACCAGGTCAGGATGATCGAACATGCCGGTCCCGGGATAGATGGGCACGTTGTTGCCTGGATTGCGAGATATGGTGTGGTCGCCGCTAAAGTTGCCATCATAACAAAGGGAGACAAACTTGCGCCATTCGTCAGGGTCTGCCTCCCATGCCTTGGGTAGATTATTGAAATCTCGTGACTTCCGTGGGCAGACAATGCATTTCCAGACCAGACCGCCCGCGGGGGGGTGCTTCCAATTTGCCTGGAGCTGCGAGGCATACCCGAAGTCTATCAGGTTCTTGATGGCGGTGTATTGGCGTGACACCAGAAGCATCTCAGGATACCGATTCTACAACTCTCATCAGCTTACGACTCTCTTCAGACAACTTACCGCAGGCAATCTTGGAACGTACTGGTGCGAGCCGAAACTCCTGAGACTCAGTGACTCGGCGTATCTTGCGCATGTGAGCTTGAGGAGTTGTCTTGCAAACAACATCATCAATGTGACGATACTCCAAGAACTGCACAGTAAATGCAGTCGACGGGCGATCTGGAGAAGCCGGGAACAAGCCTCCATACTTCAAGAGTTGTTGGTCCTCGGAGGGGGCCCCGTCACATCTACAAAAGCCAACCCCGATGCCGTGTAGGCCGTCTGTGTGAACGATGACGAGCGTACGAAAGCCGTACAGGTCCTTCGTCGGGATCGAGGATCTGCCTCCATCTCGCGCAACGCCGAGAACGTCGTCGGCGCTATCTCCAGAGTACCCATCGTCTTCACCGATAGGTTGATATCCGTCGTCCTCCATAGGCATCCCGGTGAAATCTACATCCTCTTCTTCGCCCTGGTCTAGATCCTCGAAGTCAGGAGGAAGATGAATAGTCGAGTCCGGATTCATGACTGATGTCAAAGGCTCATCTGCAGCCGGCGCCGCAGGAGCCGCCTGGGGATACGATGTGAAGCTCCCGTACGAAGGAGGGACTGTACTGTCCGCAGCTGCAAAATCCCCTCGACAAGTGACGCTTGGGCAGCCTTCCCCCAAGGCTGCGTTCGGACAGAGCTGTATAGCCACTCCTGCGTCGCGCAACCAAGCCTTGCGATAATGCTTCCCCGTCCAAAACCCAATCATGTGGAACGGATTGTTCCAATGAGCCTGCCGAAGGCACGCGCAGCAGAAGTCTCTCTTCACGGAGCATTGTCCACATCGCCAACGAGCGACGTTTGGCCTCTTGCAGATACAACATCGAAGCTCCACAGGCGGGGCGTGAAGAAATACGACGATTAGTTGGGCGTATGTCGGCCCTAGTTGCCGTTCCTGGAACTGCCGCATGTAGTCCACCTGGGTCTGGGGAGCGTTATTCCAGATAGATCTCCGCTAGTAAATGAAACTCTGACCTTTCCGAGACTGGTCCTCGCATCAGTGGCACCACCGATCTCGTAATCGTCAGGAAGTGGCAGTCCCATGCTATCCACCCGAGTTTGGCCATCGAGATCGTCAAGCATGCCGGCGAAGTTCATCGGCGGCGCCGATAGCATCACGGCTGACGATTGAGATGTATCGCCGCGAAGCTCGCCAGCATCCGCTTGCGAACTCGCACGCGCAGACTGTTGCAAAGCCCGGTTGTTTGCGCGTTCCCATATGTCGTGTGCTGCTTCTCCACGGAGTGCTGGCTGCCACGCAACTCTTGCGTTGGGGACGCGGGGCCGACTCGGGCCAGCAGGTGCTACCAGTCTATCGCGAGGGCCCGGATTATGGACATAGTGCTTAGGAGCGGATGCTGCTTTCTGTCTCCTCCCAGTGCTGTTGTATGCCGCAGTGTTGTGAGTGGTCCGGAAAGTGTATGAGCCCGAGTCTCCTGACATGATAGCTGAGAGGCAAAGCAGATGAACGCAGAAAGCAACATGCAGGCGCGCGGAGTCGCGGCCGTATATAGAGCGAGTGTCCGCGGTCACCTCTTGTATTGCAAATTAGTGCTTCAAGTTCCGAGTTTGACAGGTTTCAAATGTCCGGTGTACCACGAGGCTCGCCGCCACCATTGTCATCTGTAGGCAAGGTTACGGGAATGTCAGCTCCCAGTCATACAGTTGCAGTCTGATTGCCGCGCAGCGCCCATTTTTGCGCGATGTCTGAAACAACGAACCACGGGTCTGAGGGAGCACATATATATGCAGATGCAAAGCATTTGTATCGCTGCGCTACCACCTTTTCCCCATCCTGATCCTGCCTGACTAGTCGGCTTGAGCAACGATGGGCACCGGGAAGCCCCGTACGTATGGGGACATTGCCGATACAGTGCTGCCTTCCCTCGTCTTTACACTAGATACCCTCAAGGCCCTAGAGAAAAGCGTTGACACGTATGTTCGACTTGCTCCGGGAGATCGTCGCACGTTCTTTAGAAACCAGATGGATGACATCTGGACGGAGCCCATTGACTGGGCTTGCATGCCGCGCAGTCCCGAGTTCAAGACGCAGTGGTCGGTGAGTGTGAAAGGGCCGGCGGTGTCAACCCTGCATCTAACGGAGCATCCATCCGATAATCAGGCGCTCAGGCGATACTTTCAAGAACAAGGGCGCATTCGTGGCCCTGCGGCACTTCCTGAGAGATTGAGCACGCGCAAATGGACTGGACTTCGAGTCTGCGGTGTTGTCTACCACGAATCCATCGACGAGATGGTGTTTCTTGGAACAGGAATGCGCCCTGGAGACACTCGAGGATACATCGGCCAACGCATGAAGTGCCGGACGGTGTTCTACTGGAAGTTGCCAGGCAGCGAGAGACGCCAGCTTGACGAGATGGCGAAAGACTGGCAGGCAGGGTCTGCCCCTGCTCAGCAAAAGATCGAGTAAGCCGCGCAGCGCCTTGTCCCGCGCCAGTCCTCATGCTTCATGGCTTTAGTGCTTACTACCGGCGCTTTCATACCTGGATAAAAAACGTTCACATGACTGGACTGCGAGAGTTCGGTCAACATTTGGTGACAATGGCGATTCCAGAGCCAGGTCTTCCCAATCCGCCGCGACTGTAGGTCCTGGTCTAGCGGAGGAGAATAGCTGGTTGATAGACATTACAGCTACGAGTTCATGTACGATCTCAAGGTCCTCGAGAAGCCCCTTGTGAAGACAGTGCCGGTAGGAGACACCTTGACGGACATTTATCTTGCGGTGAATCACGCCGCCGGTAAGTAGGTTATGGTGAAGTCGTCTAGCCGTCTCTGAGGCTGTTTAGGTCGTTTGGAGGGCGCTGCATTGCCCACGTTGTTGAACAAAAAGTCGAGATTGAAGCGCAAGACCACCTGGGCAATGGACGAGACGAATTTCGTCGGACGCGACGAGATCGTCTTGAGAGAGGAAGACTTCGACGAAGAACTTTTCTTCAAGGAAGCGATCTCCATGCTGTACACGATCGTCAGGATGGCCCACAGTAAGTCTCTTTCTGCTCACCCCTCCGCCACTCTGGGTTTCATCCATATCTTTTTAGGTAACATATCGAGTCACCGCGATCTTGATCCGCCCTGGGCCTCCTTCTCGGAGCTGGTGGACCAGCGGTATCTTTTGCCAGATATCCCGATGTGTATACCTACCGCCCTACGCCAGCCCAACTGCTTCAAATATCTGAAGCACTGGTTCACCGTCACCAAAGGTCTCAGGTTCAACCAATGGCAGAGGAAGAACAGCATCCCCATGGCGCCGGTGCCATTTGATCAGCGGTGGTGGGCGGCGTCACACGCGGAGTATGCCGCGCCAGCTGAGGCTATTCCGGCGACTGCGATGGAAGCCATGGCATACGTTCCCGAGACTGCAGCTCCGTCGGACCTGCATGTCTTCGGCGGCACCGTATCGCCCTTCGGCAGTGGCGGTGGACATCTCGTACACGATGCGGAGACCTGGGAGCAGGAGTCCCTCGAGCTGCTCGATATCCCATATGTCCCAGACCCTGATGACTTGCAACCCAGGATTGTACCCGGTACAGACTCGACGTTCGCCGAGGGGGATATACCGCCGGCCCTGGTACCAGGCAATTGCGAGGCCCGGGCTCAATGGTGCATGAAGCAGGTGCAGACGCATTGCAATGGAATCTCGCGCCGCGTCACACGCCCACTCCGCGCCGCCATCAAACAGTTGGCGGAGCTTCCAGTGAGTGTATGCGATGTAAGAAGCTAGCGACGTACCAGAGATAACTTGTCTCCTAGATGGTCCCAAACTGCACGTACCCTCTGAAGTCTGCTGGTAGGCGTTGTGGGTTACCCTATGACCTTCGATGGACGATGCTAGACGCCGTGCCGCCAGCTTCAGCAAACATGCAGGACTGGGTCAGATTCTTGGAATCTGCCCCGTGGACGTTCGAACAAGCTGGTGCTGCCACATACGCTGGATCTGAGCTGGCTTGGACGTTTGTCTTGGGCGGCGTTCTCTACTTGCGCGGATATTCGGCTGCTGGCGGCGATCCGTCAGGCGACGAGGGCGTTGGACGCTTCACAATGGGTTGCGCCAGGTTCCACAGGATCTTTACCCAGTTTGTCTCTACACTTGAGGACTACGGGGAACGTTTTCGTTACCCTGGGTGGGCGCCCAGCACGAAATACGCCGTGGCAAACTCGCGATCTCTCTACCTTGCATATCTTGTGAGGCACGACACGCAAGATGTGCTGCTGCCGCTCATCAAGCTTATAACTCGATTGGTGAGATTAACAGACCTGCGTTAACTCTCAAGCTAAGACTTGGCGTTGATAGAAGCAGGGAGCGCTTGAAGCCCCGTTCGAGTTCGTACCGCACTCCGCTGCTACTGACGCACCTTCCTGGGTCACTCAGTCAAACGGCGTTCCTTCCTGGCAATGGCAGAGATGCGGTCTACCACCAGCGTCGCACAAGCTTTCTGACCTGCCTGACATACTTCTCGCCTGGCTCAAACGCGACGACCTACTGGTGGATCCGGAAAAGGGGCCTAGATCTTGCGAAACAGGCTTGGCTGTGATGCTCAAAGTTGCGTTGGTTTTTGCCGACCTTGAACATGTTGAGGACGAGAACTGGACTGATGCCGGCGCACGTATCCTGGAACTTTCCACTCTCTGTTCACGGCGGCGAGAGCTACAAATTGCCATTGCGGACTGGGCTAACCAGGAGGCCGTACGACTGGAGCCTTTGCTCGACGCGTTAGACATCGCGCGAGAAGATCAGGACGAGGAGGAGTCTCATACGCGCGGCGATTCGCTCCAGTATGGGAATTCCCCAGGCATGAAGAGCGTTAGGCGCCGACCGGCCAGCCAATACATACCGGACGAGGTAGACGACACATTTATGGCCGTGGATATAGGCGACGTCGTATTGCCTCATTCCGTTCAGGAATATCGTGAGCGGGTGGAAGCGGAACCTAGAACTGCTGTTCAAGAGCTGACCCGAAAGGGTTTACAAGGGATATCTGCCCTCGGGGAGCGGAGACAGAGGAACAAAGAGCTACTGTCTGGCAAGACAGCCTCGGCAGGAGCATCATCGATGGCTCGCAGACCTGCACCGCAACGCACCTCTGGTGGTTGGCAGGGGATGCCCGCCCCGTCAATGGACGATCTAGAGCCTCAGTCGGATGGCGAAGACACGCTCCCACCCCGCAAAAGGCGCAGGACTATGGCATTGAAGATAAGACGCAATACCGGTACCCGCGAGGCAGCGACCGATGCGAGTTCATCGCGCACAAAGCTTGCCAAAGCTCGTGGAGGAAAGAGAAAGGGCACTAGTGGACGCCGCGCTAAAGTCAACCGGTCTTCAAAACAGAGGAATCCCCGCACGATTCGCCGCACATCGCCGGAATCCTCATATGAAAGCGAAGACCAGGCTGATTCAATGTGCGGACCGGTTTCTGGTGCTGGGGGCGGAGTTTCGGACCTCGGAGGGACTTCTGAAGGGGACGATAGCGATGCCATGCCGATGCGTATCACGACGCCTAGAGACCCGAGAGCTCTGGGATGGGCACAGCCGGTGACTTTTGACGCCGACGCCACAAGTATCGCAACTGGACTGGACAGCGATGCAGCCGATTCGGCGTTTTCGTTTCACCGCCCGCCCGTACGCCGGCTTACGTTCATCGACGCGAACCAGGCGATCCGTCTCGGAGCTGAATCATCGCGGCGCTCGAGCTTGTCGGCGCCCGGCACGCCCCGCGCGGCAATGGGTGATCGCCTGGCCTCAAGCCCGATTGGGACAGAAACGCCAGACGGTGCGATGAATGCAGGGGGATCATCAGTGTCGACAGCGATCGTCGTCAGACGAAGCGGTAGATTAAAAAGATCCAGTTGATTCTGCGCGATGTCGTTCCACAAACAGCGATGATAACTTTGGGACTGCTGCAAAGGAACTTCAGATGCAGTACGAAACCAAAACTACATCGATTCATCAACGACGCTGTGGAACCTGGACTGGTAACGGAGCAGGTGCAGCCGGCAACCCATGTGCTTTCTCGAATTGCCTCTGAGCGAACGTCGCAGCGTCCTGACGAGCGTTGTACACGAGCTGAAACGCCTCCTCGGTGTTGGTATGCTGAACGTCGATGGCGCGCGCGCGTTCCATGGCAGACGCTTGAAGCCGGCCAACACCATCCACAAGCGCCTTGAGATCGCTCACGAATCCCTTGACATCGGCATCCTGTACATATCATCAGCGCCAGCCGTAGTCCCAGACAATTATCAGCATACATACCTCTGCCTCGAGGCACTCACTCATGAAGCTGACGCACTCCGAGTTTACCCAGGCGGAGACGCTGAAGGGCTGCGCCCTGTACGACGACGTGATATGGCGCGGGTGTTTTAGCCACCACATCGGGAGTCCAGATACGTCGCGCGGCTCAGGCTCATTCGCGGTGTTGCCAGTGAGCAACCTCAGCGCCCGAAGTGGCAAAGAAGACCAGAGCTCCCTGTCGCCGTAATTTATGGCGTTCTGCACATGCCAGAGGAAGTCGCAGTACGGCGGCATTCGGCCAGTTTGCAATCTAACAGTGCCAAGAAGTGCTCGACCTAGAATCTAGCGGATGTGGTCAATGGGGAAAGTAGGGCATTTGGAAAGAACAGCTACACACGAGCTCCGAGTCGAGTCCTTTCACAAGGAATTGCACCTGCGGAAATGTGGAGAAGTAAATGCAAATCTCAGCGCAACGCCGGCGCAATGAGTCATGGTATGCCTTCAGCGGATATTCGGTCATGACGTGAGTGGTTCCGGTCAGTCCGCGAGGGCTAAAGGAAGGAAGTTATCTTGGAAAGAGAGCTGTTATATAGCCGCCCCGAGGTGCAACGTGACAGGGCCATCAGGGCTTCGCGGCAAGCGCCCGATCAAAGTACATGCGCGGCTTATATAGAGCCGACGACATCGTCTGAACGATTCACCGATCCCTCACCGCCATGCCAAGCGACCTTGCGGTAGCTGAGGAAGCTGCGGCGAGATTGAGGCTTAACTGTGTACTGGAACACGTGGGACCAAAATTGTTCGGGCGAGAGTCAGGCTCAATCGACTACGGCCTTTTGTCAGATGGACTGAGATTTGAGGCAGTATGTAGCGTATCGTATTCACCGATGACGGATGACCGCAGTTGACGAATCTCATCAGTCAATACATGCTGCCATCAGCGGGGCGTTGGCGATACAGGGTGTTGAACCATCGAACGTCCATTCGGTCGTTGCGGCGTTCCAAGATACCGCATGGAATACTTCCGACGGCGCCTACGATTTACTCGAAGGAGAATACCGAGAGCTCATGGGTCTGCCCGGTCGTTTTGATATCCCCACTTCCCCTTCCGCACCGAGTGTTATCTCGGACGTAGCGTCCTTCGTTAAGAGTATAGGGGCCGGGGCCGTCGCCCTCGATCAGTGGTGGGAGCGCGGCGACGCCGATTGGCTTGACAATGAAACCACCCAAGCCAGCAGGGCGGCGCATTTATTCCTCACTACGGCAGTAAGCGCGCTCAGAGCATTCATAGCCCTGGTGATCTGAACCAGAGATTTTGTTAGAGGTTTGGGATGGCCCCGCCGATTGCCGGCTCAGGACGGGACGGGGAGCAACACCGTAGGGCGCCAGACATTGTCAATACCCTGGAGCATATGGACGGCCAACTGTCACAACTGCAAGAGTCCGTCCAGGCACAGAGGGATGCTCTGGAGGGTGCGGTGTATGACGTGGAAGACCGCTTACTCGCGGCATATCTGCAACTGTACGAAGGGGCGCAGGACGCAACGGACGAGGTCGCCGCGGTACGCCGGCATCTGGAAGGCAAATGGAATATGTACGGCGGTCCAGCACACATTCAAGCTTTCGTCACGCATTGGCTCGACAGCCTGATGGGTGGAAGGGGATGAGACGGACACGTCACGTCCGCTAATTTGATGTATTCTTGTTGTTAGTACAACTTGCAAGTTGTGATGAGGGTTGCACTGCTGGCGGCGATCATTAAATGCAATTACAAGAGCCATGTGATGTTTGAAGCCTCAGACTTCCAAGCTCGCGCGTCAGCATGAACGCTCTTGTCTCCGAACCGCCGTCATGTCTCAGTCTGACGAGGAGCTCAGCGTCCCCATCATCGATCCCCCCCCTGCTCGGGAAGTGCCCATGGGAGACTCGTTCCAGGAGCAAGAATCGGACTTGTATATCGCAAGACACAATTCTCTAGTGAATGTCTTGGGCTCTCACGTGGACGGCTCGTTGGCAGAAGGAGACTTCGACTTCGGTATGCTGCAGAAGGGCTTGGCGTTTGAGTCGGTGAGGGACCACGATTCCTATGGGTTTCTACTGCTGAAGTCAAATGAGGCCCTCTGCAATGCGGTGAGCGGCAGTCTGGCTATTCGCGGCATCGATCCCGACATTCCACTATGGCGCTACACGCTACAGGGAGAGACGAGCACTCCGCGCGGGGATGCCTTACGCGCGATGATCCGGGACTCGCGCATGGACCACCGTCTAGTAGGATCTCGAGGAGTGGATCTCAATGTGGACGATGGCGTCGTGCGCGATGAATGCACGAGATGGATCGCCAATTGCGGGGAGAAATTGAACACGTCTGGGGAATGGTGGAAGGAAGCCGCGAGCAACAAAATCCTAGACGGAGTGTTAGTTCGGGCAGACAAAGCTGCGCAGCTTTATGTCAGCACGCAGGTGCGTATCACGCGGTCAGACAGATATCCCCTGACTCTGATCCCTGCGTCGTTGCCAGTCCTTCAGAAAGGAACGTGAAGAAGGCCTCGATTACGACCCCGGTCCGACAGATCATGGCGCTGTTGAAGCGCCAGCTCTACTCGTCATGACTGAGGGCCTGCTGAAACAAACAGAGTCGATCGGAGATCGGTTGGAGCTGACGCGCCAGAGTTTGTTATCTGGGACGCGAGAGCAGGAACGTCGGTTACTCGCCTTTTACTGCTGTTTATATCCGGAAGAGGCTCAGATACATCACATCACCAGGAATGACGTATGCCCGAAGATCGTATCATTCATGGAGCGGGTTCTGGGCACACCCCTATTCACCATGGTATCCCCTTGATCTCGACTGGTGCTGCTCTGCGCTGTAACATTGTCCGGATTGATATGTGCCCCTGTATACCTATCTTCAATTGTGCAACAGCAGCTTTAGATAACCTTTGTCAACCCCGACTGCTACTACTACTACTCCATAATCGTCAGTTGGCGCTTGGGGAGGAGCAGAGGCTGTGTTTGGAAGCTGAAGTGCCTGGGTGCACTGATATAACATGATTCATCGACTACGGATACCAGAGTTTGTCCAACAATGAAGAGCATGTACTAGTCGACGCCTACTCATTATCCTCATCGCCCCTGCAGAGTAGATCCCACCAGCCTTCTGGCAATGTCAAGCGACCAGCCGGCGGTGGCGGATGATTGGCATTCAACCACGTAATGGCTGCGGGCCGGGCGTAACATGCAATGCAGACTCGCTCTTCGAGGAAACTGGAGACCTCATGGAGGTGATCATGTCCAGAGAAGAGTGCCACAGTACCAGAGTCATACCGAATGCGTATTCCAAGCCCCGGCAATGTGAGCATTGTACGCGGGCCACCTCCAAGGGTCAAGAGGAGGTCGTAGAAATCTCTTCCCCCGCTTGCTCTGTCTCTGTGGGCAGGGGTCCGCCTGTTACAGATCAAAGTCACCACGTTGAAAGCGAAGGTCCAAGTTTCCATGTGTCTGGCGAAGTCGGGCAGCGTCGCCAGGTATCCAAGCGCCTTGCGTGTCTCACGGTACTGTGCTGGGTGGGTAATCGCAAGCGCTACAGAGAGAAGAATTCCTGTTTCCATGTTTGCCGCGACCCACGTCTGAGCACTTGCCTGCGCGGCATTATCTTGCCGCCCAGGCGGCGCTCCTAGATCGCTCGACACGTGTAGTGTGCTGTTAAGACCCTGCGTAGATGCTTAACACCCTCGCGAATGGAGCGCGAGCTTCCTCACCTGGTTACCTTGAGCCAGCCATCCCGGTGATAGAGTCATCATTCCCCGCCCAAACGAAAGATTGCTGTTCTGCGCATAAAGGTAATTTGAATTTCTCCAGCGGGATTTCGAGCCAGGGTTGTCTGGCCCCGGGGGATGAGCTGCGATGGAGTCGGCGGCCAAGCCCATAGAGGTCGCAATCGCCGCCTCCATGATACATCAGTCGGCGGTGATCTGATTTAATCTGACGACTAGGCGTTCGCTTACCTGGCGCTCTGGGAGCAGCATGTCAGGAAGGCTCCACAGAACCACGTCGTCATCTACATCGACAACAGTGAAGGGGGAATCGAGCGGCGTTGGCATGTCTAGAGGGGGGAATCGCGCGCGCAACGTGTCCTCAAACTCGTCGTCCCCCCCCGACTGTGTTCCAAGACCGGCGGAATAAGTCTTAGCGCTCCAATGCACGCGAACTAGCCGCAGGTCTCAACGGCTAGCGAGCTGAGTGATGGTCGACAGACAGACCTCGGTTGCTCGCAGCCTCAATGATCCTTTGTGCCACGACACGCAACTCCCCGGAGAACGCCGAGGGTATGTCATCTGGCACGACTGGTGTTGGGAGAGCGTCGACAGGAAGACGTGCAGACATGCCCTTGAGATAGCAGTCTACGCTGTATTCCGCACATAAGTCGAGGAGCCGCAGAGACTCTGGAGCAGCCATGGTGGTGAGAGCCAAGGGGACTAATAGAGCGGCGATCCTACAGCATGGATACATCGGCATTCGCACGAGTTCAATTTCAGACATGAAGGACGTGCGCTGTATCGACAAGTTCAAGTAATGAAGGAACTCGCACTGTATGCTAACTTCATGATTTTACAAAGGATAAGCGATCAATGACCTCCGCCAGATATGTGAACATATCTTGGTTAGGTCTGGCGGCCGCTTGCTATCTAACTGTGATGAGGACGGGGACATTTAGAGCGCAGACAAATCCGTTATGGCGATGGCGACACAGACCCCAGAGCGGAGGCGTTCCCTCGAATTGAACAACTGCGTTAGATCAGAAGCAGGGGATAGACGTCCTGATGGCAACGCATGATGAAGTTCGAAGGCGATGTTTTCTAGACAAGGGCAAGGGTACACGTCGCCTTCCACGGGTGTATTGAGATATAATGCCAGGGCCTCGAGGTGAGCCATAGCAAGAACACCTTCCACGTTCTGCGTGAAGGGGATCCCGTCGGGGAGCAAGGGGCTAGCGAAACAGATTGACCTGACGGCATCCAGCTTGTCTAGAATGTGTGCGTATGCCAGCGAGCGATCCGGCAACCAGCTGTCTTTGCCAAAAATCAACTGAGCGATTGGCGAGTCTTTCCTTATCTCCAAGACTGTGTGCACGACGTAGCGGAGTGCATCATATAGGGCCTTCGGGAAGGATGAGTCGAAGGCGCCACTGCGGGACTCAGAGCGATTGTAATCGCCAGTCCTAACAGCGAGAGAGCGCCTTGCGCTGCCTTTATGTTCGAAGGGCAGGCAGCGCCGCCAATCTCTGCTCTCTGGATCCGCAAGCACCGGAAGGAGTTCGCGCATGGAGTCAGCCAAGGCAAGCCCTACGTATTCGGGCAACCGAGCGGATGCCCGATCCTGTGGGCCGGTGAAGCGATCGAGGCGCACATCGAGGCCCATCGTGACTAGCGAGGCCCATATAGCTGAGCCGGCGGTATCCGCGGTCGGGAGCCAGGTGAATATCTTGTTGGTCTGGTCTGGCATGGCGAGGGTCAACGCGTACTGGGAGAACTCGCAAGCATCCGTCTCGGATGCAGCCAATTCGATGGCTTCAAATGGAACTTCATAAGGAGGCTCCCGTTGAGTCCACGCCCTGCAAGCACGTCCCCACTCTACCACCGGCTCTAGGTGAAGGTCAAGAGCAGGCGGCAACCTGAGGTTGCGTAGCAACTCGCCAGCGGTGGATTCTGGCGCAACAACCCTGAGATGGCGCAGGCTGTGCAGGGTCACGGTCGCTAGATCCTCGAACGACGCGCCGCCGACGTCGATTGTGAGGTATTGCAATGACAGAGAACACGCCTTCAATGCGTGGGACAGGGAACGGGTGAAAGTAATGCGTCGGGCGCCATTTTGATAGAGGCAGAGGGAGGTCATCACCGGCGAATAACAGAAGATGCGCATATTAGAGAACCGACTGGTAACGACGTTGGGGCTTTTGATTGCAGTGATATGCCGATGGCCCCGGATCGCGCTGCGAACGGAATGCTCGCTGTATATCTCGACGTCGATATGTCTCAGGAGACTGGCTTTGTGACGACCACGTCGTTCAAAGTACTCTTCAAGTGTTGATAAACCAATGCCCCCCGGCAGTGCAATTTTGATATGAGTGAGGCTATCGAAGAAGGAGGCGATGCCGGGGATCAGACAGGCACAGACGTGTGTAGCCAGCAGGTTGGTTGCGCCGTACTGAATGGAGAGGTGGCCGTTTTCGGTCATGCGACGAACGCCGGATCGAGCAGCGATCTGCGGAAGCAGAGTATTGTCATACAGCCAGAGGTTCGAACTCTCCTTCAGCATGAGTTCCCGAAGATGGGACCCGGCTTCCGAAAGACATTGCGCGGGGGACCGAACTTCGCGGGGAACAGACACCTTCAGACAGATAGGTCTGCGACACGATTCATCCATACCCTCGCAACACAACGATGCGCTGGTATTGAGAGGACCACCTGCGGCGGATCGTCTGACTCCGGCGTATGGCGCTTGCGCCGCGAATGTCTCGCGGTGCCACAAAATCTGAGCCCAAAGCGCAATCTCGAGTATCATTTCGACGGGTAATTCGGACAGGCGAAATGTAGCAGGGTGGTTAGACGGAGGCATCATGGAGGGAGGGAAGAAGGGTCTGTAGCAAAGCTAAGGCAGAGCCGAGGCTATTCTGACGGGACACGTGTGGATGATTGCATCCCCCGAAGAACAAGCGGCAAACCGGACCGAGGTAGTCTCCAGCACTTGCATCATGATGCGTGATGGGCTATTGCCGCGGGAACGAGGCGTTGTTCAGTCTTCCTCCTACCCCCTCGATGGCTGCACCCGCGCCCCTAGGTGTTCTTGACTTGCCGCCGGAACTCATCTCTGACATTTCCCTCTACGGTCAAAATGATTGGATCTCGGATGTTCTGAATGAACATCGCGCGACTGCGAGCGTACGTCGATTGCAACCTCTTGTCGTGAACCAAGGCGACTGCCGCGGTGTCACGGCAGGAGTGGTTCAGGCTTGTGTAGCGGATGCCATCACCCAGCCGCCTTCCCCGTTACACACGCTCGTGCATACATGCTCCTACTTTCGCAAGGCCTTGCTTCCCGTCAAGGCATTGGGAAAACTCTCGAATACTCTCCACCACGAGCTCGCTGTCAGGGCGAGCGGTCGTTACCCACCACCACCTACTCTCCAGAGACTCGGCGCTTCCTTTCGCTACGGCAGCGATATACTAATCGCAGAGAAAGTCTGTTCTTGCGTTCTCGCCGGCATTCGCTCGTTCTATCCCACGTTGCGCGTAGTGAAGGTTTCCCTGCCTTGGGATGATACGTCGCAGGCGGAGCGCTCATCTACTGCGAACTTCTTCGTCGATCTTCACAGTCAAGAACACAGCCTCTTAGAACATTTCGATCTCGAACTTTTTGAAGATCGACAAGATACTCCGGGTTACATCATGGTGTACAGAAGCCCGAAGATTCAAGTCTGCAAGATCACGAACGCTGCGATCTTTCTTTACGGCCCTTTTCTTGCCTACCTGTCCGTCACCTTCCCCTTCGCGGCCGACACATTTTTCGGACCGGGCTTTTTGAATGCATTGAACGAGTGCTGTAACCTGCAGTTTCTCACGATCGACGGTGGTCGATGCAACCTCATAGACACTGCGTTAGGCGACGACTTTCACGACATATTGCCTGTCGCGATACATTTGCAGCACCTTCGCTATTTGCGGATGTTACTCCCCGCCTCCACTGCTGCCGCACTCCTTAGTCGCCTGGCACTTCCACCCAACATCGACGCCCATCTGGAACCCGTCTCGCGTTGGGGAGATGCTTCATTGACATCCAGTTCTGGGGACGTCATCGGCTTTCAAGCGGTGCTGGGAGAATTTGCAGATGCCGAGAGTCTCTGGTGTTTCGCTGCCGCCGCTTTGTCGCCGGCGCGAACGCAGGAGGTCTTCAATCCCTCTGAACTTTTCGCCGGTGCTACGACCTGGCAAGATGAGCATCTCGTTCACGCGTTCCCGGCTGTAGCCCTGGACATACGCCATGATATTCTGAATCAACCGCCCACAAGCGAGAGCGCCGGGCTTCCCGAAGTCATCACTTTCATGACGGCTGCATGCCCAGAGGACCTACTACCTATGTTTGGCGATGTTGCCAGGGCATCGTATCTAGCCGGGCGAAACCCAGGATCTCCGCGGCGGTCACTTTCCATACGAGATTCCGGGGCAGAACCGAGCGCCCGTATATCAGCTCAACAAGCCTTGCCGAACGCGACATACGCGTTGCTCCAGCACCTCACCATAACCATGGTTAAAGGGCAGCCCGACACGCCGTTTAACGGTTTGGGGCATATAATCATTCTTCTATTCGCCCCGCAGTCATGGTATCCAACCTGCGGTCGCGGTTGGCGATGTTGTTTGGAGGCGTTTGACGAGATCACAGAACTGCGACTGATGGCTCCGGACCTGGACGAACGGCAGGCGCAGATGGAGCCTACGCACCTACACGGCGCCTTGACGATCCGCCATCTCGAAGCCCTCGCGAATGCTATCCAGACCCCAAAGACAAACTGGCTGGCGCCGAAGCTGCGAAGGATAGTCTTACCTGCAAGTTGCCCACGCGACGCGAGAGCTTTGAAACGATGCCTCGAGCATTCTAGCAACCCTCGAGCCCGCCTGGCAACTGGAGCACCATTTGTCGAGTGGATATTCGGGAGTTAAGGCGGTGATATTTTCGTGGTCAGCGAATGTAATGAAGTTCAATCCCGGTCGTGCGGAACGGCCCGCGCCTGATGTTTACGACGCAAACCTTTCGATTGCTCCCAGTCGTTGTAGCATTTTCCAACGATTGCCCAGATCTATTGTTTGTTTAATTAGACGTCGAGGGACTACAATGTGAGACTAATTGAACCCTGCGCGTGCAAGCCTGAAGAGGTTGCTGTCGTCGGTATAGCGAGCGCCTGATCTCATTGCCGCGGCAAGCTCCGCTGATGTTATCCTGATAAGATCATCAGCGCGGTGATTGCGCCTCATTCCGCGAGGCGAGCAGACATCGATACGCGCGTTTGCACCTTCTTGACTCTGACCCACCATCTCACATGTCTACTGTCGACGCCGCCGTTCTCGACCCCATGGTCTTCCCGCTTCTGGAGCTACCGCCAGAGACGATCCTGGAGATTGCAATGTGGGGCCAAGAACTATGGCTACTTGACTGCGTCTTTGCGTACGGCCCGGGTGGTCCTTTCAAGCGCCTTGTCGTGGATACGCCGCTAAACCCCGACCGCCAAGAGGAGTGCTGCAGGAATGTTGAGGAGCGTGTACTCCCGACGTGCATAAGCGCAGACTCCCTCGTTCCCCAATCACCGGTGCATTCTCTGGCTTGCGCCTGTCGGTCCTTGCGCGACTTGCTGCAGTCCTCGCAGGGTGCGTGGAAACAGGACAACCTGTTCTTCAAATCCGTCGTGGCGAAGGTCACCGTCAGACAGCTTTCTCCATCACCGACCAACCTTGTCGAACCGTCGATTGCGTACGGCTCCCGCACTTTGATAGCGTCGCCGTCCTGCGCCTGTATCATTCCCAATATGCTGTCTTTCTTCAGGTCCCTTGTTTCCTTGAAGCTCGCCGTGCCCTGGCACCGTCCTTCGTTGCCGCACTCGGACAACGAGCACTTCTTCCTCGCCAACCATGACGAAGACGCCTGCCTCCTGCAGCGTTTTGACTTGGAGATCTATGAAAGCACCCAAGCCCCGATACAGTCTATCATCCATTGCCTGTACACGGACACTATGCTGTCATGCCGCATTGTGCGCGCGAGTTTCTTCTACACATCACCGTGCCTCACCTCGTTATTCATATATATTCCCATGAACCGCATGCCCGCTTTCGAGAACGCATTCTGGGATGGCTTGATGACATGCTCGTCAAGCCTCGAATACTTGACGCTCGACGTCGGCGGCGCGATCTTCATCGGCGGTGACACTTTCATCACCCTGCCGAAGCTCCTGTACCTCAAACTTGTCGCAGGAGCGCGCGAATGCCCTCGCTTTCTACAAGCGTTGAACTTGCCGTCCCTCATCGATATGCATTTGGAGCCTGTGGTGGATTGGAGAGCCGGGGCATGGGCACGCATACGGCGGCATATGTTGGACGATGAGCCTGTCCCTATCCACGTTGATTTCCAGGCGATAGAGTCGCCTGACTTCGGCGATCAAGGGCCCAGGCAGGTCTGGCGCTTTTTATGCGCGCTCGCCGCGCCAGATCAGACAGAGGGGATTTTTCACATTCCTTCGCATTTCAACTTTCGACAAACCAACTGGCAGACCACCGTCAACGTCGTGGGACTTGATGTGCGTCTCGACCCGTCTACGCGCGTAACCGAACGAGCTTGCGCACGATTCCCGGAACTTATCGCCTTGGATTTTGGCACGACAGTACGCGACGTGGAGATGCAATTTCTCGCCCGTGACCACCCAAAGCCGCCCTACCTGCCTTCGCCGCTGCCGTCTGGTCGACGGACCCTGACTTTCAGGGATGGGGTTTTAGCCCACGCCACTAGGGAGCACTATTTCGACGCCCGGCTGGTGACGCCGCTTTACGACACTCTGTCTTACATCATGCGCGTCGTTATGAAGGGTGGATCTGGCGCTGTCGCATTCGACGGCCTCCGCCATGCCCGAACTTTGGTGCTGCACGCGCGTTCGTGGAAACCGGCCTTCTCGATAGGTTGGGCCAACCTGCTAGAGGGGTGTACGCGAGTGGAGAATCTCGTTCTGTATTGCGACCGTATCCTCTCCGTAGACGAGGTCTTCGACGAGCGCGCGGAAGGGCCTCTCGCGGCAACGCAGCTCGAGTCCCTGGCCATTTATCTCAGCAGCACCAGAGTGTCGTCAGCTTACCCGTGCCGCAACCTTCAATCTGTGCATATAAAGGTGGCTGCCGGTCTCGGCGACGGTGCCGCATCGTTTGCTGCTCATTGGCAGTCGCGCTTCAATACTCGCGCCCGCCTGCGAGGGGTAGGTCAACTTATATCATTTCTCGTTACTAGCCCGTCAATTCCTACCGCGCAGGCTGCGGATTTTGTGTGATGATACACCTCCTGTCTCAGGACCCAGTTGTAGTTGTTGTATTCATTGTACCCCGCGACAAGAGTGCAATAGAACGTTTCACCAGGTCAAAGGACCGTCTGTCTCAGCGCAAGCAAGAACGGGGCTGCCTTCTGACCGCGAACTCAGACGTATGAGTTCAAGTTGGGGATCGTAATCATCTCGCCGGCGGCAACTGGCGCTCCGCAATTCAGACAACCCCCTGGGGTTATGGCTACGCCCGGCGCGTACCGGCAACAGTGCTGCGCGAACAGGTGAAATTCTCAGACGGTGTTGGGAACCGGACCAGAGTCTCATCAAGGCTGGGTACAAGTACAATCGTAACGACATCAGGAGCTATGCATAAAAATCCACCGGGACTAAGAACTAGGACAAAAAGAGCGTATGAATCTACTGCGGGAGGAAGCCTTTCAGCGCATTGAGTAGAGCGGCGTTCTCCTGCGTCGAAATCTTGAAGCTCTCTGAAAGGCATATTAGATAGCGTAATGTAGAAGAAAAAGGACTTCACCGTTCAGAGTTGCGTTAAGTTCGTAGAACCCTTGGTTGAACGCGCCAGTGAGAGCCTTCGCTTCCTCATGGAAGGTGGTGTTAAGACTGTTGAGATGCATCTGGATTTCACGCAGCGACTGCGCGTCGCTGTGGTCATCGGGCCCTTCCACTGCGAGCGAAGGAGAGCGGTCACGCAGATCCTGGTTCA